AATGCGGAGTACCAACTGTGTGCTTGCGTTGTGTTTTCTCTGTTCCTGGGAGGGGTAGATTAGGAATAAGGAAACCACGGGGGCAAGACTGAAATTGGGACCGGATGGATCACAGGTAGAGGCTAGGACAAACAGGGACCAAGTAGAGTGCGAGTAGTACCCGGCAAGGATTTTCCAGGTAGCTCTGGCGGGCCCGACAAAGGTTTGCTAGGCCCGGTAGCTTTCTGAAGGTCATGAGTAGTCGTGGCCCGAACCTAGATATCAGGGGAGGTTAGATTCGGGCTCTGAGGTAGACTTGCAGGCTGCAGTAATGTTCCCGGCAAAAGTAAGGAGCTCCTGGTAGGCCTATGTAGTACCCCGGAGAAGCAGCGTTAGGAGCGGTACCCCAGCCTAAGTGAATCTGTGAGGCGGAGTCGTAAGAGTATCATTCGGGTACCAATGAGTGAAGCGGTATATTACCCGGGAGTCATGATGCTGCTCTGCCCGGAGGGGGAAGTTGTGATGAGTGCCGGAAGAGCGGTGGAGCAGGCGGGGGAGAGAGAGGAACTGGCATCGAGAGACTCACCTTGGCTATGGTTGACCTTCATTTTCACTTCCTTGGTTGTCGCTGCATCAAGAAGGCCCCAGTGTGGGTCCCAGTTGGTCTCGGACATCTTCCGAGAGTGTGGCTATGGCGGGAGGAGATGGGACTAGCATAGTAGTGTGTGTGTTGTCCTTCGAGCATCAGCGATGAGCATGGATGTTCGGCCATATCCTTAGGTGCTACGGAGAAGAGAGAAGTGAGGTTACGGCTGAAAGAGAGAAGTGAGAAGTGAGGTTACGGCTGAAAGATGTTCGGCCATATCCTTAGGTGCTACGGAGAAGAGAGAAGTGAGGTTACGGCTGAAAGATGGTCTGTCTTCTGCTGAGTTGCTCCCAGTAAGGGGGAACACTCCGACATGATTCCTGTTCAGTCATTCGTTTCTTGTTGCATTTAATTGATTAGGTAAGAGGAGGAGGAATAAAGGAGAAGAAGAGGGATGAAGAGGAAAAGAATGAGGGTGGAGACATTGGTGTAACTTGTGTAATTCAGAATTCTTCTTTGATTCTCTTCTTTCTATTCTACTCTTTCTCTCTCTTCAGCTCTTCTTTTGAATTTCAGCAACTCTTGCATTTCTTGCAATGCAATTTGAGTTTTGCAATATGGATGCAGTGGGATCATAACACCTGTGCCTACTGTAGAGCTGTCAAACCTTTTTGCTCATGAATAGACAGGCTCTACTTGTGACGCCAACTTTGGCAGTGACGGTGTTGTTTTGATGGAGCCGGGAAAGCGTATCGCAGACAAAAATAGCACTGGAGCGACATAGGCAGCCCATTCCGGAAGTAGAAAAGTATCTCGCCATGGGGGAATTACATAGCTGAACTTCATAAGACGTCAACGCGCTTGGCAAAGTCTCTTGGTTCTCCTGTTGATTTTCACCTGCTTTCTGTCTATGATTGCAATCATGTTACACAACACTCGTTGATGATGGCGCTCTTCTTTGAAGAAGAAGAAGAACGAAGAGGGAAGAATAAGCAGAAGCAGAAGAAGAAGAAGGAGAGGAAGAAGAAGAAGAAGAAGAAGAAGAAGAAGAAGAAGAAGAAGAAGAATTGAAGAAGAAAAGGACAAGAAAGGAGAAGAAAGAAAAGCAGCAAGAAAAGAAGAAGAAGACGAAGAAGAAACAGACAAAGAAGAAGAAGCAGACGAAGAAGTCCTTTCCACTCGAACGGCAGCGGTGGCCACATGGGAGGCTGATGCCAATGGGTGCTTCCAATGCATGCATGAACGCCGGGAGGCTGATGCCAATGGGTGCTTCCAATGCATGCATGAACGCCGAACGGGCTACATGTGTGACGATTTGCAACCCACTACAGGATGAATGGATTGGAAATTGGGCATTGAACCGGGTACAATCCGCTCCCCCCCCCCCCCAACCCCACCCCAAAAGAAAAAAGAGCAGGACAATACACGAAAAAAGAGACAAGCCTAAAAAACAAAAAAAGAACACCTAGCTGAACGAGGCCCTATGGTCCTCCAAAAAATCAACGGGCCGCCTCATGGGCCTTCCGCACCTCATAAACCTCCCTGGGGGCATGCTCCACCCCCAGCATTTTCCCTATTTGAGGTGGCTTTCTGCTGGCCCGGGCACCCAACTGGTCCCAAGGGCAGACCTGGGGTGGTCCCAGCTGAACCATTTCTCCCCAAAGGAATGAAAAAAATGATAAAAACTTTAAAAAGTGTTAAAAATTAAAATAGGTGTACAGGTGGGTCCCAGCTGAACCATTTCTCCCCCAAAGAATGGGAAAAATTAAGAAATCCTTAGAAAGTGGCAAATTCAGTGTACAGGTGGTCCCAGCTGAACCATTTCTCCCCCAAAGAATGCGAAAAATTATTAAATCCTTAAATTGTGGCAAATTCAGTGTATAGTACCATATATTCGGGTCGGCTGTTTGCCAAAAAAAAGGAAAAGAAGACTGCACAGCAGCAGAGCAGCAGAGAGATGCTCTAACGGGAGCCTGAACCTTGCGCTGCTTTTTTTATGTGAGTTGTGCTGACTCTGTGTGATTGATTCCTTTGGCAGCTGTGAACTGCAGGGACATGATCGTCCGGGCCCGATACCAAGTATGCGAGGTGCCAGTGAATGTCCCATGTCAGAAACCGCTACCAGACAAACCGAACCCTAAACAAGGACCCGGTAAGTGTCTAATGAACTAAAAGACTGCAAGCTGTGTTCTGCAACCCCCCCCCCCCCCCCCCCCCCCCCCCCCCCCCGCCCCCCGCCCCACAATCCAATCCAGTTCCCCCGTTGTCACTCCCTCCCTCCACCTCCATGAACTCCGGGTCCCATCCTGTTTGAGAAGGGGGTCGAGATAATGGGGCAACATATGAAACCTTCGGGATGATGCTGGTAAGATAATGGCTTCGCTGCACCTCTGACCACATGCACAGAACACAAAAAATTATGGCGGTGTATCTTTCCATGTCCTAGCGGAAGATTCATTCGCAATTTGCGCGTTTGGTGAGTAGGGGGGGGGGGGCAAGTCCAATAGTTTTCTTGAGGAGGCAGGCACCATACATTTAGGTAAAAAAGATGCCCTCTGTCATTCCTACCAGTGGGCAGGGAATTGGCAATCATAAAATATTCATGAGGTCCTGCCTCCGCGTGAATTCTTTGAATTTCTCTCTTCCTTTTTTTTTTTTTTGTGTGTGTGTGTGTACAAGTGTGGACCATTTCTCGATTCATCCGTGTCATCCTTGCGCAGGGGCCATGCTAATCTTCTTTTGTATCCTTCCAATTTTAATGGATGTCCCGAAGGACCATTCCTTCCTTGCTTATCTATGTTCTTCTCTCAATATACCTCACACTACCTATCTTCCTGGCTTACGTATAGAGGCGCGTCGTCCTTTTTTTTTTTTTTTTTTTTTTT